GGGGTTCAGCCTGGAGAAGAGAAGGCCAAAAAGGGGAGAGCTCAGAGCCCCTTCCAGTGCCTAAAGGGGTACAGGAGAGCTGGGGAGGGACTCTGGACCAGGGAGGGGACCCATGGGATGAGGGGGAACGGTTTTACACCGAAAGAGGGGAGATTCAGATTAGACATAAGGAAGAAATTCTTTACTGTGAGCCCCTGGCGCAGGGTGCCCCGAGAAGCTGTGGCTGCCCCATCCCTGGAGGTGTTCAAGGCCAGGTTGGACGGGGCTCGGAGCACCCCGGTCCTGTGGGAGGTGTCACTGGTGGGGCTTTAAAGGCCCCTTCAACCAAACCATTGTGTGATTCTCGCTGTGCTGAAGCCAGTACCATCACTCGCCCGGCACTCCTCCAAAACTCCTTCAAAACGTCATCAAGCCTGAAGAGATGAACAAAGAGCGTCTTCCCAGGTTGTTGCAAAACCTGTTCAACCGCACTGATGCAAAGATAAGAAAATCAGGTCACTATTGAGGTGTACATTAGGGAGACAAACAGCTGCGGACTCTTCCCCGCGGTTGGGCTGGGGGACACCTGGGGCAGCCCCCAACTCTCCAGGGAGGAAACGTACTATTTCATTACTCTTGGAACTCTAGGAGGAGTGTCTTTAATTTAAAATGCCTAAAAGCCGCAGTTGTCCGGAGCTCACTGTGCCGTGTCACCTGAAGCACGCTGCTGCCACGGCTCCCACGCGACAGCGCTGGACGGAGGGAGACGGGCGAGCAGCGCAGCCTGGGCTGCGGCCGGCCACGGTTCCTCACCCCCCGTCGCACGCCCAGGGAAGCTGCTTTCTTCTGCCATTTAAAGCTTCGGTTTCCCCGGGAGTACAGACGCCCGGCTACCACTGCCCGCGCTGTCTCCTGCGAGGCAGCCCCGGTCCACACGCACCGTCCCAACTCCAAACATCTTCTTAAGCGATTTGCACATCTTAAAAATAAAATCCTTTATTGATAATATGAATGTTTAACATGTTTAATGCCATCAGCTATAAAAATGATTAAAGACTTCAGCTTGGTACATTTGGCTTTACAAATTTACAAGTGTTAATGAATTAATACTAGTGTATATGTTTTGCACTTCATTATACTCCATTAGCCAGTGACAAACTCTGCAACAATGTCTGCTTATAGGTGTGAGTTATCGAAGAAATATTTAGTTGCTTCCACACAGAATCTACATCAACAGTTAAATACTAACTCTAAATGTCTTACTGAATTAGTTGGATCCATTTTAATATCTTGTGCTTAGTTTCTCTCAGAAGATAGGCTACTAGCAAAAATACATTCTTTTGCATACCCCTTCCCATATTATATTTTAGAAGAAACAGTACTCAGTGCATTTCCTAATAGACTCCATCATAGTACATCTCTCTATAGAGCTATCGATAAAGAAAGGGGGTAATACCATTTAGGTTAATGTAAAAGCAAAGAAACACGTTAAAGCAGTGTATACAAAAGCCTCACTTTTGAACCCGAAGCGATACATGGGCCAAAATCCATCTGCCCATCAGTTTTCACAATTACTCTCATCACGAGGAAAATCTGCTGTGGATACTCAAAAGTTAAAAAAGTAATAAATGTGCTTCCCAAAGAGCCGCTGCCCAGTGATCTCTGGGCTGCGCCCGTCTCCCGACCGTCAGCACACAGCCCGTTCCGCTGGACGTGGAACGGCAGCGCAGAAACCCACAATTTAAAAGGCTACTAAAGGGTCTGTAAAAGACTTGTGTTGTAGTCTAGATACCTGCCACGGCCGCGCGGGAGAGGACTGCAGGGTCACGTCAGACAACAGCCACCTCGCAGCAGCACAAGAGCTCCGGTGTCCTACAAAAGGAGACTCAAAGCCAGAAGGAACCCATCAGGCGGTGTACAGTAGTGCGTCCGCCCAGCTGCCGCAGGGAGCTTCCCTACAATAAAGGTGGATGTACTTTGTCTAATTAAATATTGAAAAATGACAAAGGAGAAAGCGTCTCCGGCAGTGGGAAGCTGTGCTCTGTGTGAACGTGACGCTGCTGCAGAGGGAAACGCTGAACATGGACTGACACTGCGCGGCAAGTCCAGCTTCTAAATTTAGGATCAGTTCACATACAGCTGAGATAATTAACTCAGGGTTACGCTCTCAGCCTCTGCCCCTGATCCGTGGTGTGTTTGTCTTGTATTTCTCACCGCAGTGACTCAGAAAACCACCCGTTCACGAGGGCCGACCGCCGGGCAGCACAGGCAGCATGGCTGCAGCAAGAGTTTCTGCGCAGGAATCAGTGGCTTCTCCCCCCTTGGGCCCAAATCGTTTTTCACACACACGATCTGCCTCCAACTTAGGCGATTCCTCGCTCCAAGCGATTTTTTAAATCTCAATGACTTCCCTCATTTTCTTCGTATTAGGCAGAACATCAAGGATAGATAAAGAATTCCCTAATACATTGTGTATTTAATATGTATGTGTGTGAAACTGCTCACACATATATAATATTCAATGACACGTGACAGTAATGATTTGGTTCCATGTTTGCAGCCAGGGAAAGCCAGCACGATCCCATAGCTAACCAGTGAGTAAAGTCCAGGTCAGCTGGACACAACTGATACAGATGAGGAACAAAATTATTGCTCTTGTTTATAGTAGAAGATCCCATGTTACTGTTGCAAAACACCTGTACGGTATGGACTAGTGATTTTTTTTCAAGTAATAGTGAGATCTTTGTCAAGTAATAGCAAGATCCTTTTCTCAGAAGTTCTACACACAACAGTAGAATGCTTGAAGAGCTTGAAAATTCGAGGTGACACACCAGAAAGTTCAGCCATTTAAAGCACACGGGCATCTCTGCAGAACGTGTTACAGGAAAGCAAAAAGAACCACACACATTGAATACTGAGAGAAGTGTAACGTGGACTGTATCACGGCCACATCTTACCCCAAGAAACCTCTGTGTGCCTCCTCAAGCAGCTAGGAGCTATGTCCTACAGGACAAAGTGTGGCTGGCTGTGTCGGTCTGGTGGTCACCCCACAGAATTTGTAGCACATCTGCTAACTTATTTTAGCAAATGGAAAGAATTAAAAAGAAAAACAGTGTTGGTTTCAACATTCATGACTCACAGAAGAATTTGTTTCTGCAGCTAGATGGTCCCCCTCCTCACCTTTTTCAGAGAATCACATTCATATTGCAGGCTTAGTTCAGGCACTTTTTAGAAAATGTTCATCTGGAGTAAAAAGTCTGCAAAAGTTATTTCTGCATAATTTAAAAGTAGCATTTCAGTCCCATTAGAGTCTGATAGGTCCCATCACGGTTCTCGTTATCTCTAATGATTTGACTGTTGTCATGAGACATTTTGAGGCTACTGTATAGCTGTAGTTAAGGTTTCTTCATAAACAAAAATATTTTCCTACCTATTAAAAAAGAAAAAAATATACTAAATGCTTTATACAGACAGAATCTGCTACTATGGAAATAAATAACATGGAGTGGAAAAAGTGTCTTAGCTCTAGGATGCTAAGCCATGGAATGTCACATTCACATTTTCTGGAGACTAGCTGCTGGTTGGCAGGAGTATCTCAATGTCTTTGCCATTCGACACTACAGTGTTGTTAGAGCAGCTACCTGCCACGTCCGTGGGGGCACCCAGAGAGGACGCCTGGGAGGAGGCTTTGGTTAGCGGAGCAGGAGCAGCAGGTGACTGAGCGAGGCCGGGTTTCTTTGGAGGAATGGGTGGAGGGTTCCCTCTTTCTGCTCTTGGAATGGTTGGTGACTTAATTCCAGGAGACAACGGGCTTAGCGGGCTGGAAACCTTGCCAGGGCTTGGGGAGTGACCGGATTCGTTTTTGGGGCTCACAGCATTTGCCAGATTTCGATAGTCCGTGCCAAAGGGTGAGCTGTTAGGGGAGACAGGTTTAATAGGTCCCTGCTGGCTGGTAAATCTGGAAAGGACCTGAGTGACTGTATTGCGGGCCAACTGCTTGGCGGCAGAGTTATCTGCTAGAGTAGGAGACAAATCCCGCGACGGCGGGCTCTGCAGACCACTTGACTGGTGGTCCTGTTCAGCTTGAGACTGAAACTTGTGCCGAGCTGCATGGAACCGTTGATTGATCCCCACCTGGTAGGATGACTGGTAACCAGGGCTGCTGGCTGAAGCTCCCACGAGGCGTTTAGTCAGAACTGGCGAGGAGCAGGGGGAAGGTGTTAGAGAGGAGGCAGCCGTGCCGCTGGGAGACAGGGAGACCCCACCAGAAGGGACCTGGGACATCAGATGCACTGGTGACTCTGTTCTCACAGGAGAACTTCCATTCTCAACCGCGTTTTCTGAGGCTGCACCAGCAGATTTCTCCTTTTGAACGTGGCTCTCTGCTGCGTTTGTCTGCAGTAGCTCACTGCCCATCTGCATGTCTGTGTCACAATGACCGTTGGATTTTGCATAGGAGGGAGTGGGTGTAGCGGGGCTGGGAAACACGGGATGTACAGCTTTGCTTGTGCTGGCAGGATTTGCTCGGTCTGCCTGCAGACACTCTGTCTGGCAAGACACAGACTTCACCGTGGCACTGTCAGTTGCAACACCTCTGGACATCACCGAGGGGGCTGGCTGCAAAGGCTCGGCAGCACCGTGCTCCTGGCAAGAAGCCTCCAGCTCTTTCAGGGCTTTCTTCAGACATTCCACCTCTTCTTTGAGTGCTTTTGTACGGTTTTCTTCTCTGTTCAGCTTGGCTTTCAGCTGTTCTCTTTCAATGTCAAACTCTGAGAGCTGCTTTTCTACTTGTGCTTCCATCTGTAAACCCCGCTTCCTCTTGGATGCCAGCTCCTCTTCCAGTTTACTCACCTTACTCTTCTCTTTTTCCAATTTCAAGCTCAATTCCGCTGTCTTCTGCCCCTCTTCAGCTGCTTTGGCAGTGGCCTTCTTGCACTCCACTACAAGCATGGAAGACAGTTGCTTGTGGCGTGCCCTTTCCTCCTCCAACTGGCTTGACAGCTTCTTCTGTTCTTTTTCAAACTTTTTCACTTGGGATTTTTCAAACTCCAGCTGGAAGATAAGGACAAAAAAAGACTCTAAGGGCACCGCAAAACCTCCTGAAAGTAAATGAAGCATAATGCCCCCAAAGGGAGCGGGTTACTATCTATCTTGGAGAAACTCCCCAGTAAAAGATGGCAATGGCTAAGAAAGAGGTTCTCGCCCCACGTACCTGCAAGGCAGCCTTGTATGACTCAGGCCGCATGTATTAAGAATTATTACTTACTAGTAGTTATATCATGTATGAAATTCAGTTGACCTTTACCGAGCTATACACCCAGTCTGCCACGCACCGACGGAACAGGCGGTCTGGAGCAGAGCTTCCTTCCACCTCATTTACTACTTTGTCGGTTTGCCTTTTAAAGGCATTTAGACTTTAAAATGCTGATGTGTTATGTATGTTTAATAAAGTCTACAGCGCTTGAATAACAGAAGGCAGTAGCTTAAATATTTATTATCAGCTCTGAATAACCTCCCCCGGAGATCTTTCATGACTTATTCTGAATTTTGAGCACTAGAGAGCCCTATCATTTGTAAGTGCAGCCCAGTTCTTGAGAACTACTCAGATTTCAGGCTGAAGTAAGATTTCAAAGCACTTGATTGCCCAGTAATAGCTTTTAGCACTGCTCAGCAACCAAAACACTCCCAAAAATTAAGGTTGTTTTTCATACTGAAATGATAAAAGCTAGGAGCGCCTTACCGAGGAGGGAGGTCCCTTACTCCTCTTTCAACAGGAAGGTGCAATTAGCCATCACTACCGAGTTCACCACCCAGGAGCCCGGGGTTTCCGTGGGTTGGGTAATTACCAGTTAGCAAAGCATACCTGCTGGGTGAGCCGCTCCCGCTCCTTCTCCAGCATATAGGTAACATCATCCCCCTCCGCCGTGTCCTGGGCGTGCCGCTGCCTCTCCTCCTCCAGGTCCAGTATCACCTGCCAAACAAACATCCGTCCCTCCAGTGCCCAGGCACACAGCGGGGAGAGCTCAGCGCCTTCGCACACGGTCCAAAGCCAAGAGACGCAGGAGAGCAACCACTCAGACATCCAAATTCGACTCAAAATATCACATAAAAGCAGCTTCTGGACAAGTTACAATACTACGTTATTATACGGTATAGTTGAGTCAGTCTGTGAAAAGTTAGGAAAACCACACGTTGGATGTATCTTCGGTTTATTATTAAACAACTAAATTGCATGCTTTTCCTCCAGACTGCGGAACAGCCTTGGGACGTTCACGTTACCCATCCTTGGGTGGACGGTGCCCTCATCAGAATTTCCTGGCAGGACCATTATTATAAACCCCAGCGGGAGCAGAGGCTCTGCCCCAGAGACCGTGCATCCAGGAGACACGGGGCACTAACAACCACACGACGATCCTCGCTATGCTCTCAGCGGTAATTCGCACACAGCCTTCTCCCCCAGTTTCTTACAGGAGATTTGAGGACTGCGGTGCAAAGTTTATTTTAGAGAACATGAATTTGTTCTTCCACTTAAGAACAAGATGAGCTCTTGAAATGAAACTGCTTGCCATAAGGACCCAGTTAAGGAGCTCCTTCAGCTTTAACGCTGAATTATATGAATAATTGAAATTCTATTAACTCAACAAAAAAGCCAGAACACAAACTTCCCAAGAGAGTCCGCTGTATCTCACCACCAAAACTCTAGGCTCTCCCAACACATGCTCACCATGAATTTTGCAGCTCCTCAGTCTTCCTGAATTTTAAGCTTCCAAAAAATGCTTAAATATCTTTAAGTACACAAGGAACCTTTTCACAGGAGGAGACAGGAAGGATAGAAAAAGGGCAAAAAACATCCAATTGTCATAGTGTGACTTAGCTAGATACTTGGCTGAAAAGCGAAGCACAGCCTTGCTGTTACTTCCAGTGACTTAGAGGGCAAACCGAAAGCTGAAGACAACCTCCAGCTGCCCACCCTGAGCAGCGTCAGCGATGTAAAGTCACGCTGGCTGGTTGCTTATGTCATACCAAGGTTTCTGCAACAGAAACGCTTCAGATTATTCACAGACTGAAAGGAACTTGCTCTACCTTATCCCCACCAAAACAGATTATGGGAAAATAAACGTGAATCCACGTGCTGATGAGCAATGAAACAGAGGTTCAACTTTGAACCTTTTGATTGGAAACAGAATGCAACTCTTGTAGTTGAGATCTTTGTACGGGATTTAGTAAGTTTCAACCAAAGCAAGAGTGACATACCTGAAGAAAATACAGGATGGTACTGGCTCCAGCACGGGCACTAGCCAAAAGCACACCTAGATCTGACCTTGTAAGAGATACTTCTTAGACACCAGTGTAGGGCATCACCTCACAGTCTGCCACTGACACAAGCTAAAGCAAAAATCCCAGCTATTTTCTAATATGGAAAGAAGTACGTGGAAGAGGTTAAGATACAGTGCTGCAATGGCAGCGACTGCAGGGATGCTCCAGAGAGCTCCTCCCAGTCGGGGACTCCAGTGATGTACTCTTGAGCAATTATTCTCTGCCCCAACTACACAGCAGGGACAAATACTTCAATCATTTTGACTGGTTTAAATTTACTGCAGGACAAAACAAACATGTAAACATTTTTTTTCAAAAGCTAACTAGATACATAAAGAAAATATGTTGTAGCAAGACTCCAAAAAGCAGAGTTCAGCGGACTCTTGCTTCCAGACTTATGTGCAGCTTTACGCTCCCCTAAACCACGGTAAGCCAGGGGAGCAAACCTCTGTGGAAGTACAGTCTGACACGTGGACCAAGCACTTCACTGGTGTCGATACACATCGAAGCTGTATATGAAGAATAATAGGTGCTTTATTAAAGAGGCCAAATAGCATGAGAAATAGTTTTGGTCACACCCTACCTTCTTAGGAAAGCACACGGAGGAGCGCTCCCATAAGTACTGGTACCAGCTCTGCGATAATCACTGAGAACACGTCACAAGCAGGACAGCGATATGTCTGCTGAGAATTCAGTCTTACAGAAATCCTTTCTTACATTTTGGCAAGCACTATCCTTCCAGCTGTGAATAAGCTAGTTCCTTTTTTTGTGTGTCCTAACAAAAACATCTTGCATATATTTCAAATTTTGGAATTACAATTAATAAACTTACCAGCTGCATCATAGTGAGCGAGAAGTTTAAACAAAGGTGCAAGTCCTTTCAGTTACCAAAACTCCAGGCATTTAAGTGTTTTTGCTGAAGTTAATGTACTATCAAAATGCAACTGTTAACTTCTGCACATACTTGAAGCAAAACCCACCTTTCTGTGTCTGCTTTCCGCAGCAGCTAGTTGGGATAACATTCTTTCTTGCATGTTCTTGCAATGTTTCATCACCACTTTCAAAATAGATAAGGGATTGGAGCATACTGGTTGCTTTTCACCGTGATTTCCCTCTTTCAGTGTCTCAAAATCTCTCTGCAAAGCCATTAATGGGTCACTGATGTTGTACTTCCCATAGCGTTCCTCAATGAACGTGTCTCTATGCTGGGCCTGCAACACAGAAACAAATTTGCATTTTGATATACTTAAAATCGAAAACTTGCTAAAGAAGAAAGTAATTTGTAGTTAATATTAATCTTCCCCACTTTTTCACTTAACACAGTCTGATTCACATCCTGTTATCTGCTGTAAGAATGGGAGTATTCAGACAGGAAAACACGCAAGTGTGTCATGTTAAAGGTCCTCCGTTAACAGACGAGAGAGACAGTAATTCATACGACAAACCAGTCAAGCGATGTACCCGCTGGAGAGCGGGGCAGTCTGTGCCACCCGCGAGACCTCCAAAGCCCACCTGGGCTTTGCCATTTCTGATCAGGCCAATAACAAGGGGACAAACACCATGTTTTTCACATACTAGGTGCACATACTATTCCTCTAACGGCAGACTCTGATCAAGTTGAAACTGTGAAAAGTTAAGTGTATAGTGAGGACAATAATCCTTCTATCATCGCAACGGATTTTTAAACTGTTAACATTTAAAGTTTCAGCTAGGCTCCAAGCTAATAAAAACGCTCATTAATACATTTAAAATGGGCAAAAGTAGATGGTACCCCACTAATAAGGACAATAAAATCTAGAGGGATCAAACGTGCGCAGGCGAGCCCGGGTCTCGTCGGCTGATCAGCCCCACACAGCTGATGTCCCTCTGCTTCACAGCCGCCCCCAGGAGTCACCTGCTCTCCAGATAAGATACTCCAGTCTTGAAAAAATTTGCAAAACCCACTTGTATTTCCACAGCTGGAACACAAGCAAACACACACTGTTCACAGGCAGTCTGAAAAGTGTGTGTGTGTGGCTTATACGAAGCATCTGCTCCGTTAACTTCCCACTGCCCCCCCCAAGTTGAACAAAGTCTTTTAACCAAGTGGCCCCAACCAAACTACCCAACCGAGGGAAGTCTCGCTTAAAAACACAGCATCGCCCCAGCACAGCCAGGCTGCTGACGCCCCCATAGCACAGCTACCTGCGACCTATGTCCATGACTTACATTCCACACCTGTGCGAAAGGAGAGACGGTAAGTATCAATTCTTGCTCGATTAAAGATTTAATCATTTACTGTTGTATCGGTGGAAAAGTAGTTGTGTGGTTTTCTCGACTATGTCACCATCAAAGAATTTCATGTTGAGCAATTAAGAGTTGTATTCTTGCAATAGCTTATAAACCCGTAAATTGTTAATAAAATCCTTAATGTTCTCATCCAGACTAAACAAAGTTTAGTTTCTCAAGAAGCAAGACCGGAATGATAAACTTTCTTTTGGTGCCATACATGTACGAATTAAGGCAACTCACATGTACTAGCCTTTATATTTACAATGTTTAGAATCAGCCATTCCAGCTGGAAATGTGTTTGCTGGGACACTGATAGCTGTATCCTACTGAATGACTACTGTGAAGTTCTAAAAAACAAAACCAAATTTAATAAACACACTGATACTAAATTATTATCTACATGTTTACCACCATGATAAGAAACCACATGAGAACAGATATCCACACAACAAAAGATGTAAGGGAGAAACCAGATCTAGATGCAGAAGGGCCCTCAGAGCTGACCTGTCTTGGCTCCAAGAAATTTAATTATTGATTTCAGCTGAAATGGTTATGGGCTAAATGCTACGCGTTTGTGAAAAACCTGTGAGGGTGTTTCATTCCAGCGCGTGTCACTGACAGCACAGTCCCGGGCACGGCAGAGCTGACACGCTCTGCCAAGAAAGAATACCTTCCAAATCTGAGGTTTAAACTTGATTCTTCTTGATTCATTTTAGTCATGGTAACCAGTTCTCATGAGATAATTCACACCTTAACTTTTCTAGAGCATGTTCTTGGTAAGACCACAGGGAAAGATGTGGGCTTTGCCCTGCCCCGGTTACTCCCACCACCGTTCTCCAAAAGGCGAGAGCCCCGGGACCTTTAACTAAAGCGCACTATCACCTTCTAAGCGGTTTAATTTAAATCCCACTTTAGCACGTACAACTAGCACAGCACTGCGGGACCTGCGGAGGAAAGTTATGATACCAGCTGCACTTTTCTGGACAGAGGACAGGCAGTCTGGAGGGACTGCCCCAACCAAAGGCGTCCTGCGCGTTCGCAGGCGCGCTGCGGCTCGCTCTACGCACCCGCGCACCCTGAGCGGCGCCAGCAGAGGGTAAGCCATTCCAAAACGAACGGGGTGGCTTTGCAGAGGTGGCGAGGGGCACTCAGCACAAGCCCAGGCTCTGCTGACGCTGTGAAATGGCATTCGGCTGTCGCGGGGTGGAGAACGAGCGATGGGCGCTGCACAGAGCCGCCGCGGGGCCGGCCGCACCGCAGGACCCTCCGGCCACCGGGAACCGCCAGCTTTTAGACAGGACATCTTTTAGATAGGACAGACTGAGTGTGACTAAAACGGAAAGACAACTTGGAAGCCAGTATTTATTGGCATGGCTGTTTCCTGATGTGCCAGTAAACTGTATGGGAACCGCGAACGCTTCCCTCCAGCACGCACGAGCAGCAGCGCCGCCCCGACACCGCCCCGCGCAGCAGCGGGGACAGACGCACCGACACGGAAAAGCAAACTGCTACGACTGAGCTTTATAGGCCAGAGGACCGACAGATAAACAATAAAGCTTTGCTTTACTCAAACAGCTGATGAGATTTGCTGGTCCTGCCCATATTCTAAGATGCGACCACGTGATTAGCACAAAAAAGAATAAAAGTCAATCTCTGCTCTCAAAGGGAGAAGCATATGCATTACCGTGACAAGAGGCACAAAACCCCCAAAACTAAATACTATTTTTCCCCCATCTCCTCCATGACCAAACACCAATTAGGGACATCCGTCCCATGATACTGGTGTGGCATTGTAATTTAACCCTCGCAGTAAACAAATACAGAGGAACAGCTCACACTCACAGATACCCCTCCCTCTTTATCAGCACTATCCACCAGGAAGAGTGGATACCTTTGATCAGAGCTTAAGATATTGTTCTAACTTTACACCAAAAAAAAAAAAGAAGAGGAAGGAAAAGATCAGCCCTGGAAATGGGAGGGCGGCCCTGGATAACGAGCTGCCCCTGGTTTAATGAATCACAGGAAAAACTACAGGCTGCTTTTTTTTTTTTTTTGGAGGGACAGGGAATCTTCAGTTATTCTGGAGAATCTAAAAAAAAATGGCTCAATCAAACCTCAGGACAAGTGGGTAGGGAATTTCTAAGTGACTCAAGCATTAAAGAGCCTGTAAATACCAATCGGCACATCCACCCAGCTGCCTCAACTGCTTTGACTGCTGAGCTGCTCTTCCCTTAAACCCGACCCACCGCGGTGCCGGTCCCTCTGCAGAAGCACGGGAGAACCCTTCAGAGGGTGCCAGTGCTGGAACCGTGCGAGACAACGGGGCGACGTTTGAAAAGTTCACTTCTGGGCAACTTCTTTCCAATAAAAGCTTAAAGAACCGGGATTAAGGTCACACCCACTACCTCCAACCTCTGATTTCTTGCAACAGCCACGTTTTCCCCGGCTCCTCGCAGCACCGGGCTCTGGACTCTGCTGGATTTAGTGGGGTGGTTTATTTCCTGTCTGGGAAAGAACAAGAAGTTCTTCCTTGCTACTTTGAGCAATTAAGCATTTTTCTGAAGTAGCATGACAAACAGATGAGACTATCGTAACATTAATAGCTTTCTGAAGTCCAGCTACTCTTCTTTAATAGCCAGCAGAGCATAAACATTTAATTAAAGTTGTCTAGACTAGGAAAAGTCTTAAACAGGTCATCCTACACCAACCACATCTAGTTTACCAAAACAAATCCAGCCTTTGGTGTTTGGGCCACTGTGCCCTTGACGATCTTCAAGGTCCCTTCTAACCTAAACCATTCTATGATTCTATGCACGTGGAAACGCAAATAGGGATTCTGAGGCTGCTGCCCGTGACACCTCTGTGCTACGGGTCCCACTGTCACCGAAGTCATCGGGACAGCTCTTCTAAAGTTAAGTCACAGTGCCATAATCCACAGAGGTTAATTTATGCAGGTACTGAACTGTCACATAGATGAGTGCCTTCTCCCATGGCTTGTGCTCCTCACCGATGCAACTCTTCAGCCCAACAACTTCCACTAACGCTGGAGGTCATGTAAAAACATCTCCAACAGCTTTGATTTTGTCCTGTCTGAACTGGAATTCAGTCTTAAATACAGATTTCGTTCAACTTTCAAAACAGAAGCAAGTTGATGATGGATGAGAAATATTCTGTTAGTGAGCCCAAAAAATCAACTCAGATCTCAGATCCCAGCATCACCCTATTCAACACGTAAATCCACAGGAAATCAAGCTTCAATAACAAGGAAATAAGGTTACAAAAAGCATTGTTAACTTAGGAATGGAAAATTTAATCTGGAAAAGCAGAGATGACATACATACTTCCAACAGCATCAACTGCTCTTTGAAATAAGATGCAATCTTCTGCAGTTGGAAGATCCTCTAATTTAGCACCTCCGCCTGTATCGTTTCAAATATGCAGACTTAGGAATTTCCTATCAAAACACTCAAACTCCAAAAGCAACTAAATGGACTGTTTGGTGATTTTGAAGACTATTAAATTGCCCTCCCCCAACAGGAAAAAAGATAACATTTAAGCCTGGGCTGCTCTTCAAAAAAGGAAGCAGCTACGCATGTTAACTACTCTTAAAAATAAAGGTCCTGACAATCAGAAGAATTAGGCATATGGGCAGAGGGTACTGCTTTACCCCGCCTGGCTTTTAGCTCAAGTCAGGGTAACGGACCACTGCTAGGCTCTCGGAAAAGAGACAATTCCGATTTTATGGAGCAGAAGCAACACCTGACACAACCGAAGAGACGTTTCCCGGGCAGGCAGGCAAAGCAAAGGCTTCGCTTTGTCAGGGAAAAGCTGCTGTTTCCTCTTGGGATTTCTAGACTGTTTTGGGACGAATGTTTCCCATAATCTGTTTAATTTTTTTTAATAAAAGATTTCCTTTTACTGAAACCTTGTTTATGAGACA